TGCGGTTGACGCGACGACAGAAGTTCCCAAAGCCAAAGCGCCTGGCACTTTGCCAGCGCATTTGGTTGAAACTTTGCGACAGTCAGTGCCGAACCGCGTCGGCGCCTTGGAGCGTTCCCTGGAAGGAACGCACCAGGAGATGGCAGAACTTCGTGACGACATTATATCGTTACGAAATTCTTCACAGCGTGTGGAGACGCAACTCCAGGAGTTACTCTCCAAGCTGTCAACGCCCTCAAGCCCACCACCTCCCAATACACGGTCCGTGGCCATTTGCAGATAATCCAGCAAGTGTACTTGAGGGTGTTGACAGCTTGGAGAGTAACTCCTGGAGTTGCGTCTCCACACGCTGTGAAGAATTTCGTAACGATATAATGTCGTCACGAAGTTCTGCCATCTCCTGGTGCGTTCCTTCCAGGGAACGCTCCAAGGCGCCGACGCGGTTCGGCACTGACTGTCGCAAAGTTTCAACCAAATGCGCTGGCAAAGTGCCAGGCGCTTTGGCTTTGGGAACTTCTGTCGTCGCGTCAACCGCATCATTGCCAGTAGTGTCGAGGGCCATCGCCACGTGATCAGTTGGCGTCATCGTGTCCTGAAGGTCATTATCAACAGGGACAGAGGAAAGGTATTTACGAAGCGAAGCGAAGGATTGTTTCCTTAATTTGCGCTTGTTAATTTTCGCAACGCGAAATGGGTCCGAAGCGGTTGTAGCATCGGCAGGAATTTGCGCCATAGTCTTAGACTTCGGTCGCGGAATAGGAACGTGCTTAGCATCGCTCAAAGAAACAGCCTTAGTCTTAGCTATAGGCTTAGGAACCATTTCCAGAAAGTCGAGTCTAAGACTCAGACAATGGGTGAGTAACTGCTGCGGCGCAATGTGAGGCGAGGACCGAACAAATGATCGTCGATACCAAAATGTAACAGCCGTCTCTTACCTTAGCTGTTTTAGCGGAAGCGGAGGGTCTCGTCCACGATTGACGACCCAGCGTTAGGCGCGAGAAGAGACAAGGGAAGTCGGGATTCGAAGACATACGTCGAGAATGGTGACAGCGGAGTCTCGAACATCCGAACACTGGTATAGTGATACGATAAGTGTCTGGCCGAAGCACTTCACCTGGGTGGCTTAAATGCGGCCCACCTGCCGCCATCTCCATTCCTGGAGTCTTGGTGTCGTACGCTAGGTTGTGATAGCGTACCAGAAAGTGAGTTCGTACAGTTAACGAGTATGGTTCGTAAATACGGGACCGTACCGTTACTGTGATTAAGCTTTAATAGCTTAAAGATATTCTAAGGTAAATGTAGCTTGCTCAACTGTCGTGTACAGCAGGGTTCGACACTGACCTTCCTGAAACTTGCGGGATCCCCCGTACCTCCCAAATTTTCCTTACAGAGGGGCCCCCGTACCAGGCTCCTGTACTGGCCGAAAACCTTAGGGGGGCCCCTGTAACCCCGCAAAACCTTTACGGGGACACTGTCCTTGGCTGAAACGCTGTGGAAAGTGACGCTTTGCATTTTTTGCCCTGTAAATCGTTATTTTCGTTATTTTCCCGTGAACCATTACACACAGGGACACGGCACACTCAGCGAAAGCCAAGCGCCTTGGCCGCCGCGGCCGCCCATCCCTTCTGCTCCTCTTTCTCGTCCTCCTCCTCATCATCAAAATCCTCATCCACGCACGACTCATCGGTATCTCGTTCTACGTCGGTCTCGTAGTCACTGTCACTAAAAGCCTCATCGTCACTAGCAGGGTACATTGCTTGTACCAGTACTTCAATCTCTGGGTCAGTCGCAACCTCCTCATTATCATCCTCTCCGTATGGATTCAAATTAATTTTGCTAATGTCAGAAAACAACTTGTGAATAATGCCTGTATAATCCTTACGCGAGTAGATCTCAGCAGCCTGATCAATCAGTGGCTTCGCCCCGGTATCATCAGCAGGTCCCAACATCCCCACACGAAGTAGTGAATCAAGTGTGTGGCCTTATCCTTTATATGGTCCGTCCTCTCCCCTACAGGGCCCTGTACAGCCTCTTATAAATCCTTAAATTCCTTACGGGAGCCACCGTAACCGGCCTTCGGCTGGTCCGGGGGTGGCCCCCTACAGGGCGCTTCGCGCCCCAAAATCCTTACGGGAGCCACCGAAAAGCCCTACGGGCCCTGACGGGGATACCGAAAAAAGGCCAAAAACTTACGGGCCCCGTACGGGGTGTCAAACACTGGTGTACAGGCGCTCAAGCAGCCCCGCCCTACACCTTGTTTCAGCTGTTGCTGCTGCTGCCCTGTGAAACGGGTCCCGCTCACAACTCCCCACCGCTGTGCTGCTCCAGACAGAAGCCATTTCAGCTGTCATTCAAGCGTGCGCACGTCGAGTGAAGCTTCGAATAGACCTTGGAGGCGGGAGAGCCGAGGATGAGCGAGCACAACACCCCTACAAACGCGGAGGGGGGTTAAGAAACTTAGGCGAATGCTTAAGAACGATAAAAACGTCTGAAGAACACGGAGGCGGTGGGTGTGCATTCTTAATCATTCTTACACTGGGATTAAGCGGTTTTATGTAAGTATGTCATACAAGTATGAATTAAGAATGCATCAGCCATGAAAACATTCTGTAATTAATGCCCGATGGAGCTCTTCTAATTCCTGGATAGGTAATACATCACAGTGGTTGTGAAACAGTGAATATACCATGAAATTTCCTGAAAACCATCGACATGTGTCTGGGTGTAATAATGCGAGACAGGCCTCTTAGATTAACTTAACAGATTCACTCAACAGATTCACTCATCATGATCATGATAAGCGAATTCATAACCTATAATCTAATCACACGCCACCCGCACCAGCACACGCCACCCGAATGTTCTGGAAGGAACCTAGCATATGAATTCGCGTATCCGCCAGCACGATGCAAGTGCGCGTCGTGTTCTCAATCGTAAATTTCGTCTTGCCGTCCTGCGGTGCATGGGGTTGAAAAAAGTGTAAAAGGGCAGCCAAGCAATATGGAGTACGAGAGTCAAAGAAATGGCGGTAAATCAGCCGGCGGAGTAGATGGCCCTTGGCTGGCAAAGAGGCTGGCAGGAGCTCAGGGACACAGTTCACCGGACTCTGCTTCCGTCCAGCGGGGCTGGCCAGGCAACGTCCCCAGTGCACAGCCCTAAAGCCCCTAAACCCTAAGTACAGGGGGGTCGCTGCTGCTCGGAACCAAACCAAGATGCGGCTGGCTCTTATCACAGCTTCCAGTCCACAGGCCGCACACTGCAGAGTTTTAGGCAGGCCAGTCGCTTTCATATACAAAACTCTTTACCAAAAACGGTTTCTCAAATGCTCTGTAGGGAGTAACAGATCTCATAACAGCCAACTACCCGTAAACAACCGTATCCCAACCGAATCCACAACCAGCAACCACGACCCAGACCAGTTCTCGCCCTTTCTCAACCCCCAGCCCTCCTACTAGCCGTAAAGCCGTAGGCCGGAAATGGTGTCAGGGGCTGTTCCAACCGTCCCTGTGCAGGCGCGGCGGGCGGGGCACCTGCCTCGCCACCCCTAGGCTGGTCATTCCCCACCGGCCTTGGTGCACAACCTAACATCTGCTGGTAGGTGTCCTGGGAGGGCGGTGATGTGTGCTTGTGTGCAAGTACGTATGTATGTATCTTAAGAGGTGTATGTGTTGAAGTAGTGGCGGGTGGTGTCTTTATGTCTGGTTGTGGTGGGCGTTGTGTTGTTCTATTGCGGACGTGGAGTGAGATGTTGGTTGAGTTTGTGTGCGCGTGGAAGAAAAGGGTTCTGTAAGGGGGTAGCAGCGGTTGGAGTTGGGCGAGAGGGAGGAGGGATGGTGGGTGCAAAGGTGCTGCCGGCGGGGTTCAGTCCTTGTGGAGCTATGTGGCGGGTGGAGAGCAGTTTCCGGGACATGCCGAGTATCGATGTCACGTGTAGATCTGTATGCGGTTTTCTGCACCAACCTCGCAACCACATTCCCCCTCTTCCCGCCTCCCACAGGGTGGCCCCCCTGTCGCACTCACGTTCCCCTTGCACGTGGAAGTGGTACATACATACATACATGCATACATACATATTTACACAGGTAAACCACAACACACGCGGCAACCGAGGAATATAACGTCTCGCTCCACGTCGGCAATAGAACAGCACCGCGCAGGCTATCCCGACCTGCGACCTGAGTTCAGCTAAAATTATTTATTCAAACAATCCGTTTGCCTGCGATGTATGGAGCTTTTAAAATTGCAAAGAATGATCAAGCAGAACCGCCATGACAAGGCGCCGGAGCGGGCCACTGTTTCTTGCGCTCTATGGCGCTGTTCCTGATCAGCGAATGTAAAGCTATTGATTGAGATTACTGTTGCAGCGAGAAGCGTCGCGCTGGGTGATTCCGTTGGCGGACTCCAAGGAGGCTTCACACCGTCTTCGGGAGTCCGCGCGGGGGTGCTTCGCATAACGATGCACCTGCATAGCTATGTAATCAGTCACCAGGGCAAACTTATTTCATAGACGCCCAAGGTCTCAGCCCGAGGTCTCGGCCCGAGGTCTCGGCCCGAGGGGTCTCGGCCGTCCGTCTCGTCTCGAGGTCTTGGCCGTCCTTTCCATGGAGCCTTATGCTGCAACTCAATAAGAATTCCATTTACACAATTGTATGCATAACTCTTGGTTCTTGTCACGTATGTGTTCAGCTTCCTAAGATGAATTGTAACCCCTGTACGTACTGCAACCGCTTCTCCATTTTTCCGCCAGCAGAGACTTTGTCCTTACGAAGTAGATATAGCATCTGCTTTATGTTCCTTACAGTCTGAGCTCTGGTTACACAGCTCCGCTGGTGTAAGATTGCGAGACTCTGATAGGGAAATACAGAAGGTCCAGTCGCAGATAGAGGCAACGGAGGATCCACAAAAAGCATGCGAGGATAAAGATGAGTTGGCTCACTTGCGCGAGAAGGCGCGCCAACTCCGCGAGAAGGAGCGCCAACTCCGCGAGGAGGAGCTCTTGCGTCTCAAGATGCAATGTAAGTGAACCATGAAGTGTGTGCGCCTGAAGCCTTCGTCAGCACCTATATTATAGTCCACATAAACAATATAGAGACAAATGGTCTGAGTATCGCACCTTGGCTTTGGACTAATACCTGCTCTATATTAATAGTTTTATCTCAACAATTCAGAAAAGAACCGAACAGTGAACAGATCTAGTGATATGCCCAGAATACTATCAACCTGGGTCAAGCTGCATGTCAAAAAGGTCAATGCATCTTGGTGTCACCTGATGAGCACCAGACTGCTGCCTGAACATAATACAGGAAAGTAACTATTAGTGTCTGGTTGTGCCTGATGTGGTCTAGACTGTGTGGCTGTGTCAAATGCACCAGCTTTATGCTGTACAGGAGCAAGAATGGGACATGCCCTATGGCATAAAATGGGGGGTACCACCCCCTTAAGTGTAACCCAGGGGGTCAGAGTAAGGGTTATCCATGTGGCTATGTCATTGCATCTTGAGACGCGGAGTTGGGGCTCCTTCTTGTGGAGTTGGCACTTCTTCTCGCGGAGTTGGCACTCCTTCTCGTGCAAGTGAGCCAACTCATCTTTATCCTCGCATGCTTTTTGTGCATCCTCCGTTGCCTCTATCTGCGACTGGACCTTCTGTATTTCCCTATCAAGATTCTCCATGAGTCTTGCAATCTTACACCAGCAGAGTTGTGTAACCAGAGGTCAGACTGTAAGGAACATAAAGCAGATGCTATATCTACTAAGGACAAAGTCTCTGCTGGCGTAATAACGGTTGCCGTACCTACAGGGATTACAAGTCACCTTAGGAAGCTGAACACATACGTGACAAGAACCATGAGTTATGCATACAATTATGTAAATGGAATTCTTATTGAGTTGCAGCATAAGACTCCATGGTAAGGACGGCCAAGTCCTCGAGGTGAGACCCCGGGCTGAGACCTCAGGCTGAGACCTGGGGTGTCTATGAAATAAGTTTGCCCTGGTGACTGATTACATAGCTATGCAGGTGCATCGTTATGTGAAGCACCCCCACATGGACTCTCGAAGACGGTGTGAAGCCTCCTTGGAGTCCGCCAACAGAGTCGCCCAGCATGATGCTTCTCACTGCAACAGTAATCTTAATCAATAGCTTTATATTCGCTGATCAGGAACAGCACCATAGAGGCCGGTGCTTTGTCATGGCGGTTCTGCTTGATCGTTCTTTGCAATTTTAAAATCTCCATACATTGCAGGCAAACAGATTGTTTGAATAAATAATTTTAGCTGAACTCAGGTCGCAGGTCGGGAAAGCCTGCTCAGTGCTGTTCTATTGCTGACATGGAGTGAGACGTTATATTCCTCAGATACATTATAATCCTCAGTTGCCGTGTGTGTTGTGGTTTACCTGTGTAAAGATGTATGTATGTTGTTACAGGGTGGTTAACTTCGCCAGCGGCCCCCTTTCCCGGGGCAGTCCCTGCTCTCCCCTGCTAGAGGGGCACCCTAATCCGTCACCCCATCCGACTTCAGAATGTATTCGTTGGGTTCGGCAACTCACCACCAGCATCCAACCAAATCTAGCGGATCAACGGTGCATCAACTTAGTTCCTGGTCAGCTCACAAGTTGATATTATCACGTCCTACACCGTCCATATGATGGGGGGCCACCTCTCATTTCATCACTCCTCAAACACCCAAGGAGCCGGCAGGCGGATTTGAACCCGGGTCGGCCAGGTGCAGAAGTCAGGCCTTAACCTCTGCCAGCCGCCTGCCTATATGTATGCATGCATGTACGTCTGTATGTACCACTTCCACATGCAAGGGGAATGTGAGTGTGGGAGGCGGGAAGAGGGGGAATGTGGTTGCGAGGTTGGTGCAGAAAACCGCATACACATCTACACGTGACACTCGATACTCGTCATGTCCCAGAAACTGCTCTCCACCCGCCACATAGCTCCACCAGGACTGAACCCCGCCAGCCAGCACCTTTGCACCCACCATCCCTCCTCCCTCTCGCCCAACTCCAACCGCCACTACCCCCTTACAGAACCCTTTTCTTCCACACGCACACAAACTCAACCAATGTCTTGCTCCATGTCGGCAATAAAACAGCACAACGCCCACCGCAACCGGACATAAAGACTCTGCCTGCCACTTCCAGTGAGGCGTCCACGGAGCAGGTGGGGACGGGAGAGGGCAGGGGAAGCGGCAGCGTGAAATGGACAGATCCGTGGGTCATACAGCGCTCTTCTTCCCTGGGATGTTTATGTGTTAGCTGGTAGTTGGATGGTAGTTTGGTGGTTGGCACACTGAGATCTGCAGTCCCGCGCCCCTGTCATTGCCATGTCATTGCACCTGGTGTGTTTGGTCTGTCTGTCTGTCTGTGAGTCAGTTTATCCATCTATCTTTTGTCTGTCTCGTTGTGGGCTGTTGTCTCGGCTGTTGACATGGTTCGTCATGTAGCTATTTCCCAATGTCCCGTCACCTCCCATGAGGCCACATTGGCAAGTTGTTTACCGTGCGTTTTTGTTTTAGTTATTTGCGCATGTTCGAAGCTTCGCTGGATGTGCGTGCGCTTGATTGACAGCTGAAATGGCTTCTGTCTGGAGCAGCACAGCGGTGGGGAGGAGGACAGTTGCGAGCGGGACCCGTTTCACAGGGCAGCAGCAGCAACAGCTGAAACAAGGCGTAGGGCGGGGCTGCTTGAGCGCCTGTACACGACAGTTGAGTGAATATTTGGCAGGGGAAGCAGAAACGTGGCTGTAGGACAAGGGGCAACAATTCATTGTGAAGGAGAGGCCGATTGGGTCAATGGGCCAAGAATGTTTAGGCCGTGTGCAGAGCATACGTCTACAGCAGACGCGGGTACCTAGGGCGGTAGGGAAAGGGGGAAAAGGGAGTTGCTTAGGGCGCGGGGCAAAGCGGTGTTATGCTTAGGGTAGGGTTTTTGGAGAAGGGGGAGGTGCTACCGGGGCAGCGACGGTTTGTAAGGGAGTTAAGTACTGATGTTATGTACATAATGCTGTGCATTGAGAAGGCACGAGCTGCGAATTGGATGTCTAGTATACTATCAGTTTTCTTCTTTCTTTCGTGGCAGGATACAGGATAGACGGATTGCGGCTTTGCTGGGGGATTCTACGGTGGCCTTTGGAGGGGGAGTTAAAGGTAGCAGTGACTGGACGATAAGATACTTCAGAAGAAAGCAGTTTCTACCAGATGGGAGGGAAATCCTCGTCACGGCTCTAGCGCAGGATGCTATGACTATGTGACGATTCCGAAACAAATGCAGCGAAAGCGTTGAACACGATTTCCTGCTATATCTCGCAGCGGCGAGGTTGCCTTTCCGGATTTGCTGTACGACGCGGGTACAGGCGTGATGGTGCCTCGTTTCGCATACATACAGGCTTACAACCCATCTTGGACCTATAGACCTTGTCATCTGTCCTGTATCAAATCATTTATGTCTCACTGACAATAGCGAAGACTTTCTCCTTTGGACTTGACTATCCTTTGTAAGCGCCGTGCAAGTGAGCAAGGGTTTGCCCATACCAGCTCGCCTCAGGCTTTTTTTCCAGCATACAACCGCGGCACGGGAAAGGCGCGGGCACGGTTTCTCTTTTCAAAGTCCTTTCCCTTGGCCTCTTACTGCCGGGAAACAGCCTAAGGAAGCGAGCGATCAGGAAAGATGAGGCGCGCGCTCGGTCAAGCCTTTAAAGCTGCGGCAGGCGCCCGTGATTCGCAGGTACGCGGTCCATATTCCGAAACAGGAATCTTTCAGGAATCTTTCCGTCGTAGCTCCTCAGCAAAAGCCTTGCGCAGCAGCTCCCTGGCCCTCGGTCCGCCCTCACGGCCACGAGTCCTCACTTGGGAGGGAGCTTGACTCTGACCATGCAATGTAAACCTTTGAGAAGTGGGGAGAGAGGTCGTGGTCCCGATGAAAATTGCCGCGTATCGGCACCAGTGACCCATGGGTCACTAGGTCGGTATTTCGATCGGTCCCCACATACACTCGCACACACAAATACACACACATCCAGACCCGGTTCTACGTATCCAATTGTCCACAGAGTTTCCCGTATCTTTTCCGCTCGTAATCCGCGTGTATATGTGCTGCTGTGTTTGTTGCATGTTTACGAGTCCAATACACCCTTCCCGCCTCCTGCAGGCGCTACTTCCCCTCATTCGAGCCCGGGCCCAACAGCCACCACGCTGGGCTTGTCCCCGACCGAGGCCCGGTGGCGGCCGGCCACCGGCAGTGGCAGTAGTGGTGGTGGCCGGCCGCCACCACCACCCCGCCGTCGGCGACCTCCCTCGTACCCGCAGTGTACATCAGGAGCAGCTGGGTGAGGGAAGCGACTTCGAATCCACCGCCGCCACCGGACGGGCGGCCGTGTGGCCCGCGAGATCTCCCCCGACGCGCCGCCCGATCCCGCCACGCGACGCAGCGGGCGGGAGACGATGCCAGATGAGCGGGCGGTGGAGGAGGCTGCGTGGATGACCATCCGTCATGGCTCCGGAAAATCGGCGGAGGCCATTTTGGCAGGATGGGTGTGTAGTATAAGGGGTTTCGGGTGAGGGAGGGGATGGGGGGGGGAGTGCAGGGTGAGGTGTAAGCCCGCGCTGGCTGTCCCTTTCCTCCCCTCTCCGAGACGATCAAGTCGGGCGTCGGTGGGCTCAAGGTGAGCTGGGGGTGTGGCGGGCCCCCCGTGTGGCGGTCGTGATGGCGGCTAGCTAGCTCGGTTGCCGCGTGTGTTGTGTTTTATCTGTGTAAACATGTATGTTTGCATGTATGTATGTACCACTTCCACATGCAAGGAACGTGAGTGCGACAGGGGGGGCCCCCTGTGGGCGCGGGAGGCGGGAAGAGGGGGAATGTGGTTGCGAGGTTGGTGCAGAAAAACCGCATACACATCTACACGTGACACTCGATACTCGGCATGTCCCGGAAACTGCTCTCCACCCGCCACATAGCTCCACCAGGACTGAACCCCACCGGCAGCACCTTTGCACCCACCATCCCTCCTCCCTCTCGCCCAACTCCAACCGCCGCTATCCCCTTTCTTCCAGGCGCACACAAACTCAACCAACGTCTCGCTCCACGTCGGCAATAGAACAGCACAACGCCCATAGCAACTGGACATAAAGACACCGCCCGCCACTACCAGCGAGGCGGCCGCGGAGCAGGTGGAGACGGGAGAGGGCAGGGGACGGGAGAGGGCAGGGGAAGCGGCAGCGTGGGAACGTTCGTTTTTCATAGAAAGTTCGGGGCCATGTGAAAATGGAGAAGGGAACAGCTCCTCTATTAAAGGAGCTATCGCCTGCTACTGCTAGTACTAGTGCTACTACTGCTACTACTGCTGGTGCTACTGCCACTGCTACTGCTGCTATCCTGCCGACTTAGGTATGTATGTATCTGCCTTCTGTCCCATTGCTTTTTATTGTCGTACCTCCAAGGGTGTCCGATCGGTGTAAGGGGGTTGCACGGGGGATTGGAGGGGGGATGTGGGGGGTTGTAGGGGGACGGGTGCAGCAGGGGCCCTCCACCACCACTGCGAGGGAACGTTGCTGGGGGAGAGAAGGCGCCAGGCATTCGCTGGAAAGAAGACGGTTTTTCGTACGACTAGTTCTCCGTACAGCTGTAGCTGGACGGGACAAGAGACCAGTGGGGAAGGAAGGGATGGAGAGGAGCGGGAGAAGCGGCTTGTCACGGCTTGTGTCGGGCACCAACGGTTGGTTTGGGATGAATGTTGGATGGCTGCTGCCTGGACGAATGGAATCAGCTGTACTAGACTAAACTACTCTTTTTCAAAGTAAATGTTCTAATCTAATCTCTTAAACTTGGTTGGGTCGACTGCTCCGACTGCTTGTTGGAGCCCCATTCGCGACATTGAACAGCTGTAAACAGGAGTAAAGCTGTTTTGGATTCTGGATTCTGGTTTGTGGGTCCAAGTAGGCGGCGGGGTTGTTGCGGGTGATAATGTTGATGGTTTGGGGGCGCCTTGCTTGGGCAAACTAGCTAAGGGGAGTATTAGCACATTGCTTAGGTAGAAGAGCAAGACATGTCTCTTATAGCAATACTATAAGAGGCCCTATGTCGTACAATACCACTGACGATCGTTGTCGGTTCTCCCCACCTGGGGAGGCGTAATCACGACCCATATACATGTTTGTGGATTGGGGATTGACTTATAGGAAGGTCTTCGGTGTTTTTGCAGGTGTGTGTGTGTGTATGTGTGTGTATGTGTGTGGCGGTCTACATTGCGCTTGTTCTTCCCATTCATGTTGTTCTTGTGACAACGACAGTGAGGAATGGAAAGCTAAAAGCCGCACAGAGCCTGTCGTACATGGGGGAGAGAGTTTGGGGGTTGTACAGCGATGAATTTCCAGACAAAGATTTCCCCCTGTTCTCTTCTGTATCCTGAAGTTGTGTCGCCATCACCAAATGCATGGGGAGTTCGGGGGTTATTTGTCGAGAGCGCGGTGCTGGCTGCGGATTGGTGATGGTAGGTGCAATAATGAGTGTCGTATTATGAAGTGATGATGAGGATGTGGGTGATGGCGACGGCGACGGAGGAGGTGGAGGAGGAGGGGGAGGAAATGGAGGAAGGGAGAGGAGGAAGGGAAGGAGGAAGGGAGAGGAGGAAGAGGAGGTGGAGGTGGAGAAGGAAGATGGCGTTGACAACAGGCTATCATTGCTCTACTGGCCGGGGTGACGGTTGGAGCTGTTGTCAGGTCGAGGAAGGGGCCTGATGTAGTAGCTGGCCCAGCTGAAAAGGCCTCTCGAGATGCTGGTGGACGCGCTTAGCGCGTATTTGTAGGCGTTATGTGTGCCGTACTGTGTACCAGCTACTACAGGGCCCTGGCGCTGGAGGGGGGGCACGGGGGGCCACGATACCCTGTGTGGGATATGAAGGGGAACTGGGGAGAGGGAGCTGTGTGTTCTGATGGACTCAGGCACGGGCCGCAGCTGGCGAGCCAGCCCCCGCCAACACAGGCGGGGCGGCAAGGGGAGATCACATCACACGATGTAAGGAGCAAAGATGAGAGTCATCCCTGGTGAACCCAACCGCACCCTCGGCTACTGCAGTCCAACGTAATGGGGCATTTAAAAAGTGTATATATATATATACATCGTATATAGTATACATATACTATATACACATACATGTAAACCCTAACCCTCCCTTTTTCCATTTAGTTTTCTTGAGTAGTTGCCTTGCCGCTTAGGGGTCAGCCAGGAAAGTTGTGCTTGCTTCCGGGGGAGGGAGGGTTTGAGCCTTGCTACCGAAATTTCGCGAGTTCGTTGTGTCAGGACCGACAGGTTTCCGCTGCGGCTTCTGCCCTAACCTGCAGGTACGGAAGCAGACTCGCTTCGCTAACCATGGCTTTTCTGTTCGGATTAGTACTTGTTGCAGATCGTAGTGTTGGGCATCATCTGTATGATAACCGCAAACAAACAAAAATTAATTTAGATGACCGGCGCGCATGCCTGCAAATCGATATAGACGCGCTGACCGCACAGCTGTCCGCTTTGGAGGAATCGGTTATTGTCAAAAAAGCGTTGGCCATGCTCGCCGACAACCCGCTTGCGGGAACGGACAAGAAAGGTTAGGGCGAAAGCCGCAGCATAAACCTGGATCTCAGTTTTTAAATTTTAAGTTTTAAAATAGGTAAGGGGACGGGCTCCAGAGCGCGAGTCGTGGCCTTGTCTGGCCTGGCCGGTTTCTAGCAGGGCTTAGAATCGTAGCTTAAATGAGGCAGGAGGGAAGCGACTATAGCCTCTAAGCTAAGTTATGTACGGCAGCCGTATGGCTTGCCGAGAATTTCGAATTTGCTACTTACGCTGACAGCTCCAGAGTTCCAGCTGCAGTAGTATAAGGCCCTCGGCAGCCCCGGTTCCGCCTCGCCCTGTCCTATCCGGCACCTCGAACGCAACCGTACAGCAAGCCATGAAGACTATAAGGACATAAGGGCGCAGATGGAAACGTCTCGGCTCTACAATTAAATGCACGCCCTAACTGACTGTTATCGGACATTCTCGGACACCTTTTGGTATGATACTGTTGCTCAACGGAGTAACATCGTGACTTGGTGGTGACGATATGTGGCGCAGCAAGCCGCTGTCTGTCCCGATGGTTCGGGGACTTAGCGTAGGGGCGAACGGGATCTGCGGAAAGGGTGTTAGGGCGGCACAGGGTGTTAGGGTGTTAGGAACTTGGGGCACGTCACCCGTGCGCGATGTTTGCGCTTTCAGATTCGTGATGTTGCATGTTGTGTTGGTGGTAGGTCCTAAGCTCCTATCTCCTAGGCTCCCCGTCCTTGCGACTCTGGTAGTTGGTTGTTTGCCGTTGGTAGTTTTTTATGCTTGGCCTTAGTGTGCAGCCTGGCTGCTGAGTTAAGGGATTCACAGCTTGATACTCCGCAATAATTAATTGAACAAGAATACGCACAATCGTAAGATACTGGATCAAACGCAATGCGCGCCGTCATCCAGAGAGTGAAGTCGGCATCAGTCACGGTCGATGGTGAAGTGGTCAGCAGCATCGGCCCCGGATTACTGTGCCTGATTGGAATTCGAGAAACGGACACTTTGACGGATCTGGAATTCATGTGAGGACGTTCTGAAAGTAACCTGTCTACCTGTCCGCCGGCAAGCAACCCTTCCCGCTTCCACACTTGGCAACGAGCTCTGACGCAAGCTTAAACAATGCAGCTGCAAGAAGATATTGACGGTTCGTGCGTGGCCGCATCCGGAAACAAATAAAGCCTGGGATGTCAACGTGACATCTGCAGGCCTGGAGATATTGCTTGTTTCGCAGTTCACATTATACGCTCGGCTTAAAAAGCCAAAGCCAGACTATTCTAAAGCCATGGGGCCCCAACAGGTGCGTTCTCGTCTTGAAGTGGCTGACTTGTCCAAAGGATTGACGACCCGTACGCAGAGGCTGCTCACGTCCCTAGAATGCTTGCCCATCTTAATCCGCCATATGAGACCGTTCTAATCTCCTCATGATAGTGCAAAACCATAATCCAGAATCACCCTTTCTGGCTTGCAGGCAAAGGAATTGTACTCGCAGCTCGTGGAGGAGGTACGGCGACAGTACATGGCCGCGCGCGTCAAAGACGGAATATTTGGCGCCAAAATGGATGTGGCGCTGGTCAACGACGGCCCAGTCACCTACATGTTGGACAGCGCAGATCGCGACGGGTAGAAATTACGAGTTGCGGGAAGAAGACGCGCAGCAAGACGGGAGGACGAGTCACGTGTCTCGTCTCTTCTCGTTTCTTAAGTCGTCGGGTAAAAGAGTGTGAGAACTGCGAGGTAGAAAATTAGGTTGAGGGAGGCTAGAGGAGCGGCGAGAACTAAAAACACGTACATACCGCGTGAACACGGCGCTTCCGAATATTTGTGTACAAAAGCATCAAAATGGCTATCTATCTGCCCGAACACGCCAGCAGAAATGAGTTTACTTTAGTGCGCGATTTGGGTCAGGGGGAAAATTGGTTTGCCGCTTTTGCTTGGTTAGCAGTGGATAGCAATTGGATAGCCAGCCGTCGCGTACATGAAGAGTTTGCTTGCGCTGTGCTTACCGCGCACATCCTGCGTACAGTAGTACGCGTGTGTGCGCATGTTGCGATGCTTCAGGATCCTTATTACGTGAATTATTATTATTATTACTATTGTTGTTATTGCGCTGTTAGCCAGGTGGGCGACCCCGGACGTCTTAAGCGCCCCGTCTACGCTGTGCACCTGCATCCTTCATATGCTGTCATCGACCGTGCCGTCTGCACAGCTGAAGAACTGGATATACACATACACACACCGTACGGCAATAATCCCAGATCTGAACTCTTGTACGGCATTCGTGAGAACGGGAGATTCAGATCACGGATGTTTTTTCTCCACTGACTGGCCCTCTGCAGCTGTTGCCACCAGCGAAGAAGAGCGAGACAGGGAGAGAGGAAGGGGGAGGGAGATGCGACGGCGTGAGCTCTAGCAAGGTCTTGTTCTGTTTCTGGTGTGTATGTAAGCACGGTGCCAAGTAGTGGTGCGCATGCTTTTGTCCAGCAACAGCTTTTCCCTGCCCAGCAGCAATGGATGGCTAGCTGGTGTACCAAGTAGCTCGGGCCTGCAAAGCGAGGAGGTGGGAGAGCTAGATTGGTAGGTTGGTTGGCAGGTTAGTTGTGAGCTTACCATACCGAAACATTCATATGATTATTCTCCGTATTTATAGCGATAATCCGGAGTGCGTGATGTGCGCGGAGGGCAGACAGCGCCACCATCGGTTGCGGCGGGAGGTTGCAGACCGTTTGTACATCAGAAAAGGTTAAGCCATAATAGCGAAACAAAGAGGTTGCGCAGTAAATAGAACAAGTGTATGCATAAATGTATGCCAAACTAAGTGCAAGAGAAACTAGCGCTATTGCTTTTTAGCGTTGCATGAACGACATGTCGCCTGGTTTAGTCGCAGTAAAATTTGAAATTTTTGGTAAAGTTCAACGCGTTTTCTTCCGAAAGTACACGCAACAGGAAGCGCAACGACTTGGCCTGCATGGCTGGTGCGAGAACACGCCGTCGGGGACGGTGCATGGCGAGCTGGAGGGACCAGCGGACAAGGTTCGCGAAATGAAGAGATGGCTGGAGAAGACAGGTTCTCCAAAAAGTCGTATAGAGAAGGCTGTATTCAGCGAGGAGACCGCCATCCAGTCCTACACCCACGTCTCTGGTTTCGAAGTCATCCGCCAGTGAATGACTTCAAGGACTGCAAACCCATCAGAAATAAATTAGATGCTTGAAACAGGTCGAAGGAATGACACACATGCCGTGGATTGCTGTGGAGGCGGCAGGCATGCATGGCAGGGAGGGAGGACGGCACAGGCAGGGAGAAACTCGCGCGTTGTTTTTTTCCTAGGTTAGGCAGATCCCCCTCCCACACTTGACCGCCAACAACGCAAGCAATGTGCGGGTGGGAGATTTCGCACTTCCTCTCCGACCTCCAATCGACAGAGGTTATCAGCAGCAGCTGAGGAAGAGAAGCTCTAGCAGTCAAGCAGACGGCGGCTGGGGGCTTCCAATTGCGCGTAAGGCTGGCATTACCTGCCTACCCCGCTGACACTGCACTGCCCGACACCGCCATCACATACACCAAACACCGGAGGACCTGCGGGGCCTGCATGCGCAAAGGCGCCAAGGCCGTACATGCCGCACTTGCCGACTGCCGGTTACTGCACCGGTATATGCCTATATGTCTTTTCCATGTCTGACGCGTGTGTGTTTGTGTGTGTTAATGACCTGAACAATATTCTGATTTTGATATTTGGTTTTTATCCAGGAATTGCAATATTGTATGCGCATATGTATGCGTGTGTGTATGTATGCGCGTATGTATGCGCGTATTTCTGTTGTGTTCATGGTCGTGTTGAGAGGTTGATGTTCCCCCCCTCCCCGTCAGTGCTTAGTGGAGGAACAGGTGAAGGCTGTGGCTGTACGGGATGGCTGCGGCTGTACGGGATGGCTGAAAGGTTTTGTAACTAACGATTTTGTAATCCAAGGGCTTCCGGGCCCCGGGGTGGTGACAGCTGACTGGGAGCAGCAGTCGCTCACGAGGCCATGCTTTCGCATGCACGTATGTATGTATGTATGTATGTATGTATGTATGTATGTATGTATGTATGACGTTGATTACACTGTGGGCTGAAAAGCCGGGGGCCCAGGGCCGAAGCACAGCGCGGGGGGCGGGTGCATACGGCTGGTTAGTCTCATGCACTCCGCCCCCGGGTCAGGCCGCACGGGAAACGACGGCCGGCACGCAACAGCGCTTGTTTGGCGCTCCAACTAGACGGGATCTATGCCCGTTGGTCTCCTAACATAAACGAAGTCGCAACTGGGGGGCTCTTCCTGCCGACCGAACGAACCGAGCATCTCAGAGAGCTCGCTACCAGGACTTGGGCGACCGGGAGCCCGACGAGTCTTCCCGGGCTGGGGAGGTCACCAAGCTCAAAAATCCTCACGCAAAAAAGAGCGCAAAGAGCTCACACCACAAGACGCCAAACAGCCTCCTGAGACTACTACCCTCCTCCGCCTCTCCCTCCCTGGGCTAGTCCAGGGGAGATAGCCCCCGTCGAGGGGGTAACACCGCACAAGTCCGCGCCCTTCCACAGCACTGGGTCTAAATTGAAAAGTACTCAAACGGGAAGACCCTGCGGCAACGCAGGGCGATCAAGCCTCCGGAAACCACAGGGGGGGAGGGTAGCCAGCTCGGCGCCCCCCCAATACCGCTCTACCAAGACGGCTGGTTCCCAAGATCCTATCTCACCTAGACGCCGCACCACGAAAAACCCGGTCTCGTACCCTGAAGAAC